ATCGCTATGTTCTCCCACTTATCCATGAATATATCTGCTACAACTGGGGATATTGGTGATCCCATGGCAACTCCTTCAGTTTGTTTGTATATTTTCCCTTGAAATTTAAATACTGTGGAAGTCAGGCATAGCTGCACTCCCAGCATTATGTCCTCAAGTGGCACTTTTGTCCTAAGTTCGAGTTCTTGGTCAGAAATGACTTCGTTTCTGACTGCCTCCATAGCCATATTTATTGATATACGTGTGTATAAACTGAAAATGTCAAAACTAACCATGAAAATGAAAACACTTACAAAAGCCTGATTGATCAGATATTCGAAGAAATAAACTGAAATTAAAAATACCAGCGTACCAAACATTGTCTAAAAGAAAAAGAGAAAAACAAAAAGAAACAAAACTGTCAAGTGACAACAATAACAAAAAAAACACCAAAGAGTAATGAGAGTTAATCACGGATTGATATTGATTGATTGATTGATTGATTCGTACGATTGAAAACCAGGGAGTACTAGACAGCCAGTTGTTTCATCCTAGTTTGGGAATCATCGGCAGTACGCTAGCGATTCGCTACAGGACGAAGTTTCCTAGAGTTCTAATGAGAAGTCGTGGTCAGTGGAGATTCTTCCAGTCAAGTACGAGGATGGATGTCCCAACGGATGACATTGGTTGTTAGTCGCGCTAAATCACGAATTGGTAGAAGTTAAAATTCATGTGTTGACTAATGAATCAGGTCCCAGTGGCTGAATGGTATACGAGCCAGCTTCCTTGTAACTGAATGGCCCTGGGTTCGAACTCTAGCGGTGGGTGCGTACTGCCAATGAAGCACAAACTAGGATGAAACAGCTGGCTGTCCAGTACTCCCTGCAGGATTCGATGGTTCTTTGACTGATACCAATCCGTGGTCAAACTCGTAAAAACAAATCTAATCCTTATAAACCAAACTCTTGAGAAACCTTTTATGAAATTGTATAGAAAGAGAAATTTAAAGAAGGGAAGATACAAAGAAGCAAATGATTAGAATGGGAAAAAACAATAAACATGCGACATAGAATAATAATAGTAATAATACCGAATAAATTCTATTCTCATTATCTCACTGATGCTCTCACTTGCGTCGGTAGTTCAGCGGGCTCGATCCCTGAGCACCAATGCATTTCCGAACATCATCCAGCATAGTTAAACAAGGGACAAACAAGGTCTATTTGTAGCTCTATTTTAGCACACCTTGTAGGTAGTGAGCATACGGTTGACCTTAACGCAACATTTAAAATTATTTATCACATTCCTACTAACCTCCATTTTACTCTATGAGTTCGTCTTTTACATACCTACAGCTGAAGCAATAGGAATCCACCTGAAGAAGCCAAACCTGTACAGCCACTTTCCCTGCCTTGACTATCGTTACATGAATGAATGTATAAACCGGACTACCTCGCCCCTATTCCCCCTAAACCTTTAAAAATTATAATTGCCCAAATTATTTTATTATAATTTTCTGACTGCTTCATCTTTAATTACATGTTATCATTGTCTCAATCGTTTTATTTTCCTTTAATTATCTGTTACGTAATCAACCTACGCACACAACTATTCCTTAATTACTCTTCATTTTTTTTCCAAAATTATGCAACTCATCACTTGATTGGTAAATTGTTGCGTATTGTAATAAAAATGCTACATAGATATTAGAAAAGAGCCAGAGTTGAGGATCCAAATTGAAAAGTAAATATTTCTTCACTCAATCCTTCTGCATTCCTCACACCTCACACTAGGCTGGTAATAAGACCGGTAGAGAGGAAAGGTGGGGTGTGAGGTTAGCAACCTTACCCTGTACAAAACCAGGAGAGCCAATACTGCTGCTGAAACTCCACTCGGGGCGCGAAGGAATAAAGCAAAATTTATAAATTCTTTGTGATAATGATTCGGATAGCATCACAATAATAACTGAATTCAATGATGTAGATTCTGCTATGAAATTCACATGCGAAGAGGAATGCCGAAATGCAAATGCTTTTTTAAACATCCTCCTTACAAGAAAACCAGATGGTAGTATAAAGAGAAATCATGTGCATAGGAAACGCACATGGACAGGACAGTATACACATATTTTCACAACTTCGTTCCTGTCCAGTACAAAAGAAATTTAGTAAGGACCTTCAGCTACACGGTTAGAGCTATATATGCTCAGAAGAGGTAATTGAAGGAGAACTAAGGATTGTTTGTGTATGACATCCTAATTGAAAATAGCTATCCAGCTAAGTTCATCAAGAAACGCATGACCAAGAAAGCAGATAAGGACTATTCTCCATCTCTAAATAAAAAGCCTTTATAAATAAATGACTGCAATTCAAGAGTGACGCACCTAGTGAAATAATTACTGACAAGGTATGAAAATCTGTTCAAAGAACTTTTAATGCTGGTTAACTATAAGTAATGTTTTCTACACGACCGATGGTGATTCCTCGATTTAAAAATGAAGTACCTAGACTAGGCACTTCTAACTGTATCTAACAATTGAACTGCGCTTGCTGTGGAGCGAGTTATATTGGCTGATGCTCACTCGGCAACATCTACCAGTGTGGCTGAGTAAATGTGTAGTAAAAACCATCAACAGTCCGATATTAGACCACCAAGTTCAAAACGACCGGCCACAGAGCCAGCACTGAAGAATCCTTCTCTATCATCTACCGGGTACCAAATAAACTGCCAAAAACATCGAGGTACCACATGCTCCGAACAGCAAAGGTTATCGCGATTAGCGTGCAACAGCCAGCGCTTTGTGTGCATATGAAGCAAGTTCAGCCACTACTACTGTTTTGGCCAGCCCTTCAGTGGAGACTATAAATTCATGGATTTGTATTATTATCTTTCCTAATTTTTCTGATATTCAGTGTATTGTTATGTTGATGCTACCCAACTGTAACCCACTCACACTATTATTATTGATTCGATGTTATTTAAACAACATTAATGTTATTCATAACACTAATTCATTCACTATAATGTATATATAACCGTAGGACCTGATGAAGAACAGGCTGTCGAAAAGAGTATTCTTTGTTCGGTAACCATTCTTTTGAAAAATTTTAATGGGTATTTTTAATCACTTAAATCTATATTCACTAACAAGTGTCTATCCAATGTTAATTCGTTTATTGGATAATATCGCATAATGAGTGAAACAGTATTATTTATTATTATTGTTCCCTTGGGTTCCTAGTGGAACACAGGGCTTCAAATACACGTTTTCCCTTTTGCTTCTGTCTTCTGCTGTACTTTTCACCTGGGTCCATGTTAATCCATACTGTTTCAATTCCTCTTCACATGATCTCCTCTATGTCACCCTTGGACGTCTCACTCGCCGCTTCCCTTTCGGCTTCCACTCGAGGGCCTGACGTGCGATGTCACCCAACGGCCTCCTCAGCGAGTGTCCAATCCATCTCCACTTTCTCCTGCATATTTGTTGAGCGATTGGCTCCTGTTTTGTTTGTTCCCATAGTTTCTTGTTGGTGATTCTTTCCGACCATCTGATCTTCAGTATAGAGCGAAGACAGTTGTTGATAAAGGTCTGCAACAGGCTGTTGGAAATATTCTTTGTGACCCGCCAACAAGTCTCTGATCCGTATAGAAGAACTGACTTGACGTTTGTATTGAAAATCCGGAATTTGTTGTTGATGCTGAGTGAAGAAGATTTCCAGATTGGTTTCAGGTTGATGGATGTGTTTCTCGCCTTCCCGATTCTCGATTCGACATTCTCGTCCGTTCCTCCTGTAGTTGAGACAATGCTCCCTAGATAAGTGAATGAAGTAACCTCTTTCAAATCCCTCCCGTTGATGGTGATTGGCACTGGATGTTGCTGTTGTTGTTGTTGTTGTTGGTTGGTTATTTTCATAACCTCCGTCTTGTCTATGTTCACCTGTCTTTGCTGCTTCTTCGACCAGTTTGTCGGTTTTCGCTTGTAAGTCTTCGATTTTGTGTGACATCAAACGTAAATCATCCGCGAAATCCAGGTCTTCTAGGTTCTTCACGTCGGTCCAGGATATCCCTGTCTTCTCTTTTCCCACTGTCTGACGCATTAACAGTATTATTTTACTGGATGGAAATGTTTCGAACATAATTTATTATTCATAATTACTTTCTTTCCATTTGTCTTGTAACTAGCAGAATTCTTCAGATGTCTGGGATAGGTGTTGAATCACTTCTACTGCACATATTCCCAGTGGCTTTTGATAAATAAAGCTGAGGTTATCAATGTCTCCCTCCATCCTGTAACATTAGATTTTAAAACTGTCATCTTAGCCCAATCTGATATATAGTTGTGTGCAATTGCATGTAGTGGTTATAGCCAAGCTATTCTCTAGATTCCTTCCTTATCTCGTTAGAGTTAACTAACTTAGACCTGGCTAGGTTTTTGTCCTCTACTAGTCTGACTGACCCTGTCCTACTACTTTCACCAATGTATTTGACTTGACAATCATTACAGGGTAATAATTATATATAAGCCAAATCATTTCGTTTAATGGGCTCCACGGAAGTGTCTAACCGACATAATCTCTCTCCAATTGGGTTTGTAGGTTTGAAAGCCGCTTTTACTCCTGCATTGTAAGGATTTCTGTGTAAATTTTCAGAGGTTCCTTCTTTGTATGGAATGCGTGTCTGGGAAAAAGACACGCACAATGGATTCGATCAGCGACAAATACACTCCTAAACCTCACCCAGTCTGTAGTAAGCTCTGAAAAGACGGAAGTTTGAATGTTCAGTTAGCAGCTCCACTTCATAGTAAAACAGCACCACCACAACAGAAACTTTAAAAGCTCACCACTTGACCCCAAACCCCTCCTCTTCCACCGTTTTTGCAGTAGGAAAGCGAGAATTGTAAAAGAAATCGGTGCGTTTGAATACACTTTCACCGTAATCTCCAGTATTAAAGGAAAAAGCAGAATTACATAAAATGAATAATAGATTTATTATAATATTTTTCATCAGAATCAGAGACCTACCTTCAATAATTGAAATTTCACTAACCAATTAGGATGTAACTGTTGTAGAACACTTGGAATGGCGGGTGACATTGATTCGTCTGCATCTGTCAACTGCATATAGCCTTCATTATTCATGAATACAGCGGCATTGCTATTGTTTTCATCCTCAGATATACCATCAATATTGTCAAAAACAAATCGATAATTAGTAGGTGGTTGTGAAAGACAATTTACATTGTGAAGGTTAAGTAGGTAATCAGATGCAATCGATTTTTTTCGCTGGAATGAACAATCAGTCATGCACGCTACCGTTTTGGTATTGATGAAAGTGATGGGGATTAGTAAAAACGCTAAATTTCATTGGTAAGCTTCGTACATTGTTAATCCAGCATAAATCCTAGTGATTTTAAGGTAGATTTTATTACGCAAAGTAAAACAAAGAACTTTCTAACAGCTGTTTCGTTTGACTTTGGGACTTGTTGTTCAGTAGCTGTAGGGCGTGTGTACTGCTCAACAGTCCGCTCCGTCCTCCTTTATGGCTATGAGACCTGGCCATTGAGAGCAGAAGACATGAAAAGATTAGCTGTCTTCGATCGTAGGTGTCTGCGTTATATCTCCCGTATGAAGTGGCATAACAAGGTGAGGAATATTGAGGGTAGGCGTCGAGTGCTAGGTAAGGCGGGGAAATCAATCGACGAGGCTATGAAATTACATCGACTGAGATGGTTAGGACATGTGTTACGTATGCCTAGTCATCGCCTTCCTCGACGGGCAATGTTAGCTGATATAGGGACAGGCTGGAAAAGAGCTAGCGGCGGTCAAACGAAAACATGGCACCAGTCAATGAAATCTACAACAGTTAGTCTAAGCCACGTAGGAAAGTGTAGACTTCCTGGTTGGGGTCCTCGGGACGGTAAAAACCAATGGTTGGAAACAATTGGTGACATGGCTCAAAATCGTTCTCAATGGCTGGCGCAGATGCATCCACTCCTTGTGACTTATGATTTCCAATTAAACTGTTTTGTTCTCCGTTATTGCTATTCCTTTGTCTCACACCTCTCTTTACTGTCTTTATTATGCATTTCTTCTACTTTCTTCTCTTGCTTTGTGTGCTACATGGAGTGTGGCGACTTGAACTGCCGCACATATGTGCAAAGTTCTATGTCGAAAACCGACCGACCGACTGACCGAGCTGTAGGCAATCTACCTACGTTTCGTGTTTGTTGACACTCGTCAGTTAGGAATATCCGCAATCTTGAAGGAATTTAGTCTTCACTAACACGATGGAACTAGACGCATGACATTATTTACTGCTTAGTGCCTAATCAAAGTATCCAATACAGTCCTATGGGAGTCCAATCAAGTGCCCTGCCTGTCTGTCTGTTTTCAACATAAAACTTTGCATCGATGTACAGCAGTTCAAGTCACCAAACTCCATGTAGCACACAAAGCAAGAGAAGAAAGAAGAAGAAGAAATGCAAAATAGAGACAGTAGACAGGGATACGAGACAGAAAGAATAGTAATAACGAAGAACAATATAGTTTCATTGGAAATTATAAATCACAAGGAGTGGATGCATCTGCACCAGCCACTACTTCTTACCATCCCCGACCGATAGCTGCTACCTTGACGTGGTGGTCATGCTAGGCTATCTCAGTGACCCAACAAGATACACTAGCTGGAATTAATGTTCTTGCAGGTCCTACCATGCCAAGAAGATCGTTAGGATAGCGATTAGACTAAAAGCAGTTACCACTGGCATAGTGTAAGAATTGCTTTTACACTATACTGGAAGTCTGTGGTCGAAGTCGTCCTGCTGAGGAATAGGGATGTAACAGCAGTGAGGTGTTTCCCTCAGATGACCAGCATGCCAACCAGCTATTCTGTCTCTCCACTCTGAAGAGAGGGGGTTAGAAAAGGTCGACTTCAACAACTGTATATCCTGACTTACCCTACGGTGGTACGTAACCGGCGGTAAGTTACTAATACGAAACCAATTCAAGAAGCCAGTTCGTACAGGTCGTGTGTGACCGGTCTCAAGCAGTTGTCCTCTGGACTGTGTGGCCACGCAACACTAACCCTCTTTCTGTTTCAGGTACCCGAAGAATCAATCAACTTCCACGGTGTTGGCAGCCAGGAAGTAAAAACCGCCCACACAATTCCAAGAGCACACGGAGCCTCCTCGAACATCATTCTCCTTTACTCACATCACAATCAATCAAGTGTCTCTGACTGCAGCACTGCGTGAACCAAGTTCGAACCTTAGAAGTGCGGTGAGTCTCTTCAAGACATCAAATACGCCTTGATGACTAGTGAGTGCCAAAAAACATGAAACCAAGGTCAAAGGCTTCTTGTCGATTGCCTCCAACCATCTTATAACCACAATTTGGAGTGTACTGTGATGTCGAGCCAACTAGTGGCATGGTGGACACATTGCAAACTTGGCTGACAGAATCCAGTCTGCACCAAACAAAGGACTAGACACATCACACTAGTTACTGACTGGTGTCCTATAAAAGTACCTTGAGACCCTTCAGAAGTAGACACTGTTGACCGCAGCAGGGATCGAATCCAACGCCTTCAGTTTACGTGGCCTGCTCGTTGGAATTCAATGATCCCTGAACTCTAACTTCTATCATTTCGTGATATAGCGCTGCAGAAAACGAATTCCATTGATTTGTATCCACTTTACATCTGCATAATGGACCCGACCGGCCACGATTTCTCATTAGAACTCCAAGATATCTATCTAGTAGCTACTAATGAGGTGGAGACTTATATTGAGATTTCAAGTTTCACAGGGTTTTTGATTGATTCGAATGTAAGTTTTATCAAGAACCATTGGTAGCCAGGAGGTTATGTAATTTTTTTATAGCGATATAAAAGGATATATGTACCCCAACATTACTGTGGGTTTGACGATTTATGACAGATGCCATCATTTATACCATGCAGTGACAGCACTGAGTATGGAACTGGGTGATACAGGTTGAAATTTCCCAGGGGGGGGGGACAACAATTCTTTTACGTTTGCAAATACACCTTACAGATGACTGTCAGTAAGCAAAGAACCTAGGTGCGGGGCTTTCTGCTGAACGTCGCTAACCACCTAACCTTCTAATATAAATCCAAAGTACACAGTAACGGTAAGTAACCGTGAAATCCTTGACAGTTAACCTGAGTCAGGTAGGGAGGGAGATGCAGACTTCCGGGTTGGGGCCCGCCCTCGGGACTCTAAGAATCAATGGCTCGAGACAATAGGTAACATGACTCAAAATCGTTGTCAATGGCTTACGCAGATGTATTCAGTCTCTGTAATCTTTCATATTCCTTTCTACCATTACTCATTCTGTTTCACTCTTATACTTGTCAAAACTTTATTGATTCTCTTCCCTCATTTTCTTGTCTACCTTTGTGTGCTATTTGGAACGTGGCAACTCGAACTGCTGCACTTCGGTGCCAAGTTCTATGTTGAATCCAGAGAGACAGACAGAAGTAACCGAACTTGGTGACCACATTACAGACTTGACTGATAGCACTTACTCAGCGCGAACACTAAGTACTAAATATAACGTGCTGTTTATTTTCTAGTTAGCAACCTATGTAGACTTAGCATTAGCTTACCGACTCTTCTTTCAAGGTTATTCAAATCTCAGTTACCGGTACCGGGCTATGGTCCACACTTATCGTGTGAGGACAACTGATACAACGCACATGCCTGGAACTAAACAGACCCAGCGAGCTTCAAACGCTAAAATCATCTACTGGAATTCGAGTGCTTAAGCTAGTGAGTCACATCCCTAGAATTCCAGGGAAGGCATTCAGAGTGGTTAAGGCGATTACTATTATTACCACCAGCCTACAAGCGTCCCTTCCTTGGAAGTTTCTTTCACAAATATTAACACGTCAATGCATCAGACTTGCAACAAATACAAGAAATAAATCTAAAATTTACAAAACGCATATTCCCACTACAAGTATCATTAGAGACTTGCAGAAATTCTCCTAAAACTCTTTATTAGAATGTGATAGTGCCAAGTATTACACTTAATCAATAATACTAACAAGACAACTTGCTTTCTGTTATTGGGTTGATGACAGCTACGAATTGAATTTAAGGTGCCGGTTTTCCCTATTTAGGATCCATCATTAGCATGTACATGTATCTACTACACATAGACTGCGGAGAAATCTTTTTCGTGTTGAAACCTTCAGATTGGTGACATTTTGTAATAAGTGGAAAAGTATTTTGCAAAATCATATCGTCTACTCATGAGTAGTTAAAATAAACTTCCTAAATTTTCAAGTATTAGTTTGTAGGGACTTCACTCGTTTCAAGTTTGGTAATGGGTTGATATCAATTAGAGAACCAGTAAAAACCAAGGAGCATTAGATAGCTGTTTCTTCCTAGCTTGAAAATTTTCATGGACTACTGGATTCCATCCCATTGACTGCATGGTCAACGAGCCTGCCTCGTAACCTGAAAGACCTGGGAGTTACCAGCGCGTACTAGGACAAAACAGCAGTCCAATACTCCCTGATTTTCAATGGTTCTTTAACTGATAGAAATCTGTGGTCATAATTGAAAATACCAAACTGTTTTTAAAACTCACTATCGACCAATTCAGCAGCATCGTCAGCGTTTAGTGTATTCAGATCCTGACTTGGTCTTCTGGAACTAATTGAAGAAGGTGTATAATTTATGCCACATCTGAATTTTGAGTGATGAGGTCTGTTCAGAATGAAGAAATACCTATGGATACAGGAAATAAACAGGACTGTCTTGATTATTCGTGTATCTTAAACAACAGTAAAATCATATATAGTCCTAGAAAGTTAATGAATTACGAAAAGAATCAAACTATTAGGAATTTTTAATTATGAACGTTCCATAGTCTTCCTAGGAAACATCCTCAGTGTCAGCTTCAAAATGAAGAGAAAAGAAAATGCCAGTAAATTCTTAGAAGCTTGCAAACAGTAGGCAGTCAAAAAGCCAAATCATTCATGCTGTTGTGGAGACAGACACTTGAACCCATGCAAGAAAGTGGTAAGAACCATCTTGTCGAACTGTGAACACCCTTTCAATACACAGCTATCAACGTGGAACTTACCAGATAGGACTGGAAGCTTTAAGCTTAGACAACTAAATCTAAAAGCTCTACGATACCTTATTCAGAACACTTTTTAAGGGATGAGAAAGGTGTTATACGTGGGACTGCTAACTTACTGTGAAATAGTAAATTATTATTATTTCCTTTAGTTACTAGAGGAACATAGGGTTTCAGCTGCATGTCTCCATTGCGTTTGGTTCTCCGCCAACGTTTTCACCTATCTCCACGTCTGCCCACATGCCTTCATCTCCTCTTCACATGACCTACTCCATGTCGCCATCGCACTGACGACCAACTAACTCGCCGCTTCCCGTACGGGTTCCACTCTAGGGCCTGTCTTGTGATGTTACTTGATACTTTCTTTTCTCAGAGTATGGCCAATCCACCTCCATTTCTTCCTGCATATTTGTTGCACAATCGGTCCCTGATGGGTTGGTTCGCTCCCAGAGATCCCTGTTGCTGGTCTTTTCTAGCCAGCCATCTGATCTTGAGTAGTATTGAGCGAAGACAGCTGTTGATGAAGGTTTGTAAATATTTCTAGGTGCCCTTCGTGACGCGCCAAGTCTCTGATCCGTATGGTGCCACTGACTTCACATTGGAGTTGATAATCCGGATCTTATTTTCATTTTCATGCTGAGCGCTGTTGATCTCCACACAAACTTGGGAGTAATGAAAGCTTGCCTTGCTTTCTACATCCTCATCAGTCCCATCCGCCTGTAGTTGAAACAATGCTTCCTAAGTAGGTAGATAAAGGAGGTTGCTTCTTTCAGATTCCTCCCATTTATGCTGATTGTTGTCTGTTGTTGTTGCTGTTTCTGTTGGCCAGGAATCTTTATCACCTCTGTTTTCTCTATGCTCACCTGAAGTCCTACCTTTGATGCTTCATCTATCGCCAACTTGTTGCTTTTCACTTGCATACCTTCCAGTTTATGGGAAATCAGACATATATCATCGATGAAGTCCAGATCCTTCAAGTTTTTTGTTTGGGTTCATTTTATGCCTGTTTCCTCGCCGCCCGTTGTCTGTCGCATTGTTCAGTCTACAGCAATCAGGAAAATCATTGGAGATAGTAGGCGGATAGCCAGATAGTCTTACTCCCGTCTTCACTTCGAAATAGTAAATAAACGGAACTTTTTATTCTTTCGATCATCAACATCCTGTTGTCATTATTTCTATTTAATTTAACATCTAAATTTTTGTTGACATTATTATTAATGTAAATGTCTTGTGAATTATTTTTCTCCTTATTATGTCATGTGAAGAGAAAGTTGGATGGAATATAGTCATACATGCTGAGAACTCCATTGTGTTAAGTGTACTGTTTGAAATAAAGCTATTATCATTGTTATAATTATTATTATTATTATATCCATCAAATTTTTAACAGTTAGTTAGTACAGGTTTGATTTATTTCAAGCTTGATCACGGTTTGATGTCAGTTAGAGAACCACTGGAAACCATAGAGTACTGGACGGGGCTGTTTCGTCCTAGTTTGGGACTCATCACGACTGTTTACTCACGACTACATGAGGGATAGCGCCTGAAATCTTCAGGTTACGAGATAAATTTCATTGACCATTCAACTACTTGGGTTTGAATTCAATGACCCAGAATAATCATATCACAATTAGCGATTTGTTTAACACGAAAGCATATAATATATATGTTATGAACTGGTAATAAACATATGTTTATCGGTGTGAAAAGATCATTTCTCTGAGACTGGCGAATAATCAGCATGCATATTTATATATATGTCAATGGTGGAGTCGACGCCAGGTGAACGAAAAGGCTGTCTGATTTTCGAACTGCTTCTGTCTGACTGGTGGGACCGCCTAGTTACATTTTGTAGACAGTGTGTTTCACACCTTTAATTTCCACATTGATACGTATTTTGCCTTTGCCAATAACACAAATTCGGGTGTATTTCGTATGAAAATCGATCACCTTTAATTGTTCTTATATAATCGAATAAATAAAAGTGTCTGGTTCATAGAGCTAAGTAAATCTGTTCAGAGGACTGCCTCAATGAGGGGCTTAAGATTATTAAAGAATTACTTAGAAAAAATGGTTATCCAGATAAATTTATTGAGAAGAATATGAATTCAGCACCAAAGAGAGTCAGTATTGCTACAGTTTCGAAAAAGCCAATGTTCATAAAATTGCAGTTCCTCGGTGACAACATCAGTGAAATCATAACACAGCGCTTGAAGAATGCAGTTAAAAGAGCTTATTATGCAGCAGAAGTACGTTGTCTCTTCAAAACCACCCCTATTCTATGTTCGAGAAATAAGGATAAACTACCTAAATTTGCCTCTTCTATGTGTGTCTACCAGTTTGACTGCAGCTGCGGAGCCAGCTACATTGGGCGTACAATTAGGCAGTTTCATCGTCGTATTTCTGAACATCATCCAGCGTGGTTAAGCAAGGGACAAACAAGATTTATTCGTAGCTCTATTTTAGCACACCTTGTTGATACTGAGCACAAGGTTGATGTGAATACTGCATTTAAAATTATTTATCGCATTCCGACTAATCTTAACTTTGCTCTACGAGTTCGTCTTCTACAGACAGCTGGAGCAATCGGAATCCACTAGAAGAAACCAAGCCTATGTGTACAGAAGAAATTTGTACAGCCACTTTCCTTACCGTGGCCATCGTTACAAGACAGGACTACTTCGCCTCCCTCCGCCTATTAAATTATAATTGTCCAAGTTATTTTATTTTTATTTTGACCACTTCATCTTTAATTACGAGTTATTCTTGTAAAATTAATTTATTCTATCCATTTCCACTTTTTAAATGTGTATTGATTTTCTGCGTTAATTATCAACCCATTGACATTTTGACACTGATTAATTATTGTTAACAAACATATCAGTGCCACTTGTTTGGTAAATTGTTGTGTATTGTAATAAAAATGCTATACATGTATATTAGAGTAGAGCCAAAGAAGAGGATCTAACTGAAAAGTAAATATTTCTTCGCTCAATCTTTTTGTTTTCCAAATATAAGTCGGTCAATTGTTTATTTCGCCTACTTTTTTTCACGAGATAAGTTAAACATTATGTGTAAAACCACTACTTGTTTTATTCATCTATTTTTAAAAACATAAAAAAAAAGTATTTTATTCGTTTGAGTTCCGAGTTAATAATGAATAGTGACAATAGTAAAGAATAGACACCAAAGTCAGACGACTTTGAGTCAACCAATCCCATTGCTCAGTATTAGAAAAACGCATACACATGTCATAATCTTCGTTGCAAGTTTTATCCTTATTTAGGGTAAAGGTTAGGGTAGGTTTAAGGTAAGGTTATGGTTAAAGTTAGACATCTATTTCGTACAGTACACCCTGCAGATTTTCTAATGATTCTCTTACCGATGTCAGCTCATGATGAAATCCTGTAGGCAATCAATCAAATCCCTACAGACCAATAATTGAACTTCATGAATTGATGTCAGGTTTTGGTTAGACCACTCCCTAACTCTTTTCCAACCTAATCCAGTGTCAGCGAACATTGCTCATCGAAGACTCAGGTGACTTGACATGCGCCAACACTACTCATTGATGTGAACAGTTTTCAAATACTCACATCAGCAGCATATACCACTTGATAATAGCTCATACTGAAATGTTACATAATCAATAAAACTCAAGACATCACTCGACTTTATTGATTACTTCACTAAAGAAAACCCGCCATCACCTCCTCCTCCTCCTTCTCCTAAGGCTTTGAACAACTACCACAGATAATCTGACCAAACATTTTGAAAAAAAATATAAATATGAATGGTATACGAGCTTGCCTTGTGACCGGAAGGTCCTGGGTTCGAACTCCCTGTAGTGGGTGCGTACTGCCAATGATTCCCAAACTAGGCAGATGAAACAGCTGTCCAGTACTCCAGTGCTGGTTTTCAATGGTTCTCTAGCTGATATCAATCCGTGATCAACTCGTAAAAACAAAACTAACCCTTACAAACCAAACTATAGAATATATATACATATATATATATATATGGTAAAGTATGCAGAAAGCAATGTACAAAGTCCAATAATATGTTATGTTTGTATTTAAGGTGTCGAAAATGCGAGAATATGTGTAACGTAAAATAACGTAAAATCATTACCTTATTTCACAAGAGACAACTTATATTTTCAGCTAGAGTAAACTAAAGTACAACCACCAATTGGCAAATTGATTTGTAATATTGTGAACTGAATGGAATTTTTTTCAATGTAGAACTACTTTACACTAGAGTAGAGCAGTTTAAGTGTAGTTACACCTTATTAAACAGGAGATATCAGAGAAACTATATTTTTAACCGAAGACGTCCACGAAGAAAAATAATTCAATAGAGGATAATAAGGATTTAATAGATCTATGGTATCACAAAGAGTGAATGATGTTTTCTTACATAATATACTGAAAAACAGATGACTAGCAGAGAAGGATAGGCAACAAGGGGAACTCTAGCAGGCAGCTGACTCACTGACTGGTTTCAACACAGAACTGATTTGCACAGATGTGCAGCAGTTTGAGTTGCCATACTCCCTTCGTGTAGCACACAAAACAAGAGGAGAGAGTAAGGAGAGATTCAAAACAGATATATCGGTCGGTCGGTCGGTTTTCGACATAGAACT